GATTATATAATTCTTAGTTTAATTAAATTTTTTTAATTTAGCGTAATTTATTTGAACAAGAAGAAAATGATAATATTATTTGATCAAATATGAATAATATAATTCAGAATTGTGTAAGAAAAATTATAAATTTTATATATAATTATTTTTAAAATATTATAGCTAATTTCATAATTTGTGAACCACTAATAAATTGCAACTGAATGCGTCTGAAAATCTTTTATAATAAATTACTACAAAATATTGCGACTGAATACAACTGAAAAATTATTAATGGTCTATGAATTATGAAATTAGCTGTAATATATTATATTTTTTATTAGAATAATACAATTAAAAATTATTCTAAAAAAAACTAGAAAAATATTAAATGAATTAATATCATTTATATCTCAGCTTGATCTTGCTAAAATTAAGTATAATATTCCAATAAAAAAAATATTTTACAATTTCAAAACCCTTCGAAATTCTAGATTAAATGAATTAGAAGTAAGTAATTTTATGTTATTTGTTATTTAAAAAAAAAATTTAATATTTTTACTTACCTTTTTGTAGATATCGAAAGTCTACTTCAGAATCATGAATCAAAGGTTAGTATTTATATATATATATTTTAATTACAAAGATTTTTAATTTATACTTACCTCTCTTTGTAGATTTCTGAAACCCAGAACCTGAAATCCTAGATTGAATGAATCGGAGGTAATTGATGTTATTTGTTATTTAAAAAAACAAAATTTAAATATTTTTACTTACCTTTTTTTGTAGACGCCAAAAATCCACTCTGGAACTCTAGAATTAATCAAAGATTAATATTTATTATTATTTTTTTTTTAAAAATAATTAAATTAAAAAAAAAATAATCCTTCTTTATAGGTTGCCAAAGCCTTTCAGATCCTAGATCCTATATTTAATAAATCAGAGGTAATAATATTATTTAAAAATATTTTTAAAAAAAATAATTTTTTTAATTACCTCTTTTTATAGATACTGAAAGTCTACTCTGGAATCCTGAATCAAAGGTTAGTATTTATATATATTTTTTTAATTACAAAGATTTTTAATTTATACTTACCTTTCTTTATAGATTTCTGAAACCTGAAACCTAGAATCCTGGATTACATGAATCAGAGATAAGTGATGTTATTTGTTATTTAAAAAAAACAAAATTTAAATATTTTTACTTACATAGATGCCAAAAGTCTACTCCAGAACTCTGGAATAAATCAAAGATTAGTAATTTTTATTATTTTTTTTTTTTTAAAAATAATTAAATAAAAAAAAATTCTTCTTTGTAGGTTGCCAAAGTCTTTCAGATCCTAGAATCCTATATTTAATGAATTAGAGATAAGTAATGTTTTTTAAAAATATTTTTAAAAAAAATAATTTTTTTAATTACCTCTTTTTATAGATGTTGAAAGTCTATTTCAGAATCATAAATCAAAAATTAGTATTTATATATTTTTTTTAATTACAAAGATTTTTAATTTATACTTACCTTTCTTTGTAGATTTCTGAAGTCCAGAACCTGGAATCTTGGATTGAATGAATTGGAGGTAAGTGATGTTATTTGTTATTTAAAAAAAAAAATTTATATATTTTTACTTACCTCTTTTTGTAGACGCCAAAAGTCCATTCCAGAATCCTGGAATAAATCAAAGGTTAGTGTTTTTTTTGTTTTTTTTTAAAATAATTAAATTAAAAAAAAAATCCTCCTTTGTATATTGCTGAAGTCTTTTGAAATCCTGAAATTGGATTAAATGAGAATCAGAGGTAAGTAATATTATTTTCTTTTTAAAAATATTTAAAATTTTACTTCTCTTTGTAGTTGCCAAAGCCCTCTAAAATTCTAGGATTGAATGATGAATACGAATGACTAGTCTGAAGTTTTGACTAAGTTTAGACCTATTTAAACTGCCAAAATCTGTCAAAATGTTTAGACTTTTGACAGATTTAGTTTTGACTTTTGATATTAGCCTATTATAGTTTCGTTTCACAACTATATGTGACTCTGCCAAAAAAAAATTTGCCGTAACTAATAATCATAAAAGTTCTAGTTTATGGAATGCATTTATGATCAACATGCATAAATACTAAACAAAAATGACTTTACATCAAATTGATATCATTAACATGCAATTAATAAATAAATACTTATTAAATAAGTTATATTTTTCAAATACAAATTAAACATTTTTTTTTTACATCCTCCTTTTTTTCTTCTAAAAAAAAATTTTTTTTTTAATATCCTCTTCTTTTAATATCAGAACTATACATGAAGTCGAAATGGATCATTTCAGATATCTGAAATGGTCGAAATAGTCGAAATCATTTTTTTTTAATACTTTTACTAGGCACGCACAAGTGATAATATATTTGGATGCATACCATTCAACAGAATAATACGTCTTACAACACGTCTAATTCTACTATTAACTCCCTTTGCTATATTACAAACCAGTGTGGATTGGCGTTAAATCTAGGTGAATGAGTGTCAATATCTGAGTAGACTGCCAAACCAACGAACCTTCAGGATAGAGAGATATGGTACCCAGCCATCATTCACATTCATCACAACTACTGGAAAGAGGATCAAGAACAACTTAAGATGATAGCCTACATCATAATTGCCTCGCTATACGTCAAAATCATCCCAAGAATCGAACCCAGGCTTCCAAACCCTAGTTGTGATATAGACACCACAATGAATGAAGACAGTGCAATATCAACCACCTATAACCTGCGACTATTGTTCAATCCAAGTTATACAGTGCCTAGTAAAAGTATTAAAAAAAAAAAATAATAATAATTTTGACTATTTCGACCATTTTGGATATCTGAAATGATCCTTTTCGACTTCATGTATAATTCTCATATTTTGAGATAAAGTTTTCAGTTAGTAATTCAGGTGAAACCTCATAGCAATCCACAATACGATACCGGTCTAAAGAGCGTATCTCTTCTAAAGTCTTCTTTGGTTTATTTTCTAATAATTCAGTAATCTCATAATTGACAATAAAAGCATTAGATATATCTGCTATCTCCTCTGCTTTAACAATTGAAAACTCACCTTTACTGTTTGGGATAGCAATATTGTAGTATCTTCAGATTTAGGAACAAATTTCATGACAGAAACTACCATACCTACCTTTTGGAGAAAATTGACTATTCTCCAACCAAATAAATGTCAGAAACAGAAATTTTCCAACATATATGCTACCCACAATCGAATAGTTAGCACATCTTTATTCTGGATAATACAGAGGATAGCCAAAAGTTTCCGAATACTAAGTTTAACATTGTATATCTCAAGATGCACCGATTAGAATTAGTTCAAAATTTCATATATATTTAATACAATCTCAATCTATAATATAT